GAATTCAGTTTCTGTGGTTTAATGTTTCCAACAACCAGTGTATAAAATCCAATACAGCGGCCATTCCAGTATATAACAGTAACCTGTCTAATAATGCCTTACCTCAGGTGCTGGTGCAGATTTTGTCATGCTGGGAGGAATGTTAGCAGGACATGATCAATGCGCTGGTGAAGTCATTGAGAAAGATGGTAAGAAGTTCAAGCTGTTTTATGGCATGAGTTCAGACACCGCAATGAAGAAGTACGTCGGAGGGGTTGCAGAGTACAGGTGAGGATGTTTCATGCATTTATAAGGCATGGCTATTTATTTTGAGGTTTTAGTGCATGTCAAAACACTTGTTAAAGGAGACTTTAAAAACCACAACAGGTGTACATGTACATGTGTTTGTGATTTCAGGGCATCTGAGGGCAGGACGGTCCAGGTGCCCTACAAAGGTGATGTGGAAAACACCATCAGGGACATCTTGGGTGGCTTGCGCTCCACCTGCACATATGTAGGAGCTGCCAAACTGAAAGAACTGAGCCGCAGGACGACCTTCATCAGAGTCACACAGCAGTCTAGCCACATGTTCTCCTAGACACGCATCGCTGAAAACATGCACACTCACAAATACAGAGTCACCTGTAAAGTAATACACATACATACTCTTAAAAAGGTTCCAAAAGAGAGTTTTCATAGTGATTGCATAGAAGAACAATTTTTGGCTCTTTTTTTTTTCTTCTTCAGAGTGTTAAGAACATTTTAAAGGTGCTGTATGTAAGCTTTGACTCTTCTAAAGTATAAAAATGGGGTGGGGGTTGGTGGCAAGGTGTCAGGGGTTAGATGTCTGAATAACACAGCTGAGAACAGGGTTATTAACTGTACTATGCACCGGGTTTCAGGAGGGCGGATACTAAACTAAAGTCAGCAACCCGGGTTTGTTATCGACTGTACTAAAAAGCTGAGGATTGTGTGTGTGTATGTTTGTGAAATTACAGGATTTTTCTGGGAGAAATTACAAAACAGGAGGGTCGTGGGAAATGGGTCTGAAATACAGGAGACTCCTGAGAAAAATGGGAGTGTTGGCAATTTGGCAACGCAACAGAAATTTAACTACAACCATTCAGAAGCACAGAATAGTGCACTCACTGCAATCCAACAAACTTGTAAGGTTTATAATCTAATGAATAAATATTAAACCTCTTTAAATGGTTAAATGTACATGCTGAATTACTGATATGTGTTGGCTTGCACTGAGTCACAGTTCTAAAACTCTATTTCAAACAGTTTAATATATTTTAAGGTGACGCAGTAGGTAGTGCTGTCGCATCACAGCAAGAAGGTTGCTAGTTTGAGCCTCGGCTGGCTCAGTTGGCGTTTCTGTGTAGAGTTTGCATGTTCTTCCCGCGCTTGTGTGGGTTTCCTCCGGGTGCTCCGGTTTCCTCCACAAGTCCAAGGACATGCGGTACAGGTGAATTGGGTAGGCTAAATTGTCCATCGTGTATGAGTGTGTATGGATGTTTCCCAGAGATGGGTTGCAGCTAGAAGGGCATCCGCTGCGTAAAACATACGTTGGATAAGTTGGTGGTTCATTCCACTGTAGCAACCCCAGATTAATAAAGGGACTAAGCCAGAAAATGAATGAATAAATTAATATATTTTCAAGATCTGAGGTGAACTATCTGCTGCTGCTTTCAGTTGTCAGGCAATAAATGTCATGTAAAATGGCATTTAACCTCACATTATTAGCATTTAACACTGAATAAAGCACATGAGGAGTACCTGGGGTGATCATTGTCAGTTTTCTTTTGTTCAGCTGCAAGAAATAGAAGCCATTTAATTTCTTCAGGTGTTGCTTAGGACAAAAACACTGTTAACATCAACCTTTAGACTCGACAGTCAAGCACACTCCTGTTGGTGTCATCAATCTGGCAACCTGTGCTTGTGTGCGTTTTGAGCCTGGTGTGCAATACTTAGTTCAACCACTGGGTGTCAAACTTACATACTGCATCTTTAATGAACGTTTTACGAACTGAATTTGTATTTTTTTTTTATCAAATTTTAAACGTTCAAACTGGACTTTGTAAATGTGAATTGTGTTGTGGATGGATGCATTTTATTTTGTAAATTTATTATTTCCGAGACTGATCTGACTCCTCTTTTGGAACCTTTATTTTTAAGAGCAGTGACACACCAAGCTGACGGTTACCCAATGGGCAACATCAGTGAGTGTTGATGGAAATTGGTGTCAGGGTCATCAATGAGAAACCAATACAGCAATCCGGGTAGACTGTCCCTTTAAATGAGCCCAGGCATGTATAAGAAAAAAATATACATAATCAAATATCCATTTGTCTTCCAATTTTGTTTACTTTAGCATCATACATAACATTGTAACACATCGAGGGAGACCCCTTAGATAACTCTTTTGCTCAGGAATCTTGCTGCATACCAATACATTTCTTTGGAAACCCAGAAAATGTTGCAGCATGGCTCAGTTTTGTTCAAGTTCTCTAATGGGTCTGCATGAGACACAATAAGGAAGCATCCTATAAGCCTCTCGACAGGACAATAGTGAGGCGAGATGATTCATTCTTTGTAATTATGCAACTCCCTTGAGTGAAAGAAATGCATGTTTGTGGAGAACTTACACACTAGCAGGGATTCTTCTCCGCCACGTATAAGCTAAGCCCCGTGTGCCGTATTGTACGTTTGAGTTGATTTGAGCTGTGACTGGTGCATTGTGTGCTGTTGTGAAGTGTTTCTGCTGGCCTGCTTTGTGATTGTACGGTGGGTGCGGTGGGATGTCATATCAGACCAGAGGAATGTGAAATCTGCTGCACCTCTTTCTACAACATGCCTTGTGCAGTTTTGATGATGAGGTGGAAGTACTTTATTAAATATGTCGAATATTAAATATGGATGAATAAAAATCTGAATGAACAACGCGTTACATATACCCTTCTGTCTTTGTGATCATATTATTTTGAGGTAGAAACTTTATTGATTTCATGTTAATCATGTAACCCCTTCCCCCCCTCCCCACTACACTGTGGTTTTGAGGCCCACTGCAACGTGACGTAGGTGTAGTTTTCTTCGTCCACCGAATAAATTGACAGGTGCCTTGTTTCTATAATAACATGTACACACGTCCACAGAACACAAGTTTAAAAGTTTTTTTATTTTTAACATTTTTTTTAAACAGCCTGTTTGTAATAAAGACAGTAAAATCACTATCTTATTCTCAACTGCTATAATCACCACGGCCGCATAATGTCAGTAAAACCGTGTGTGTGTGTATAATGCAAACAGCATTCGTGTGGGACTTAAAGTTTCAGAATGGCTTGAATAAACTTGACCACAAATGCATGAAATAAACTTACTTGGTATTTTTGTCTAATGAGCTTCATCCATGTCTGTCTCTGTCAGCGTGAACCTTTTAAGTTTACTTCCTTCATTCGCACTTCAATTCACTTCACAACAGATGTGGATTCACGTACTTGGCGGTGCTAAATTAGACGCGTGAACATTTTAAGTGTACTCGCTTCATTCGTGCGTCAAATTCACTTCATAACAGACACAGATTTGCATCATGGGCGAATAAACTAAAGTAAAATTTGTTTACTCGATTAATTCATGCGTCAAATTCTCTTTACAACAGATGTGGATTCGCGGCATGGGTGGGGTTAAAATAGATATGTGAACATTTTAAGATTACTCGCTTCGTGAACATTTTGAGTTTACTCGCTTCGTGACCATTTTGAGTTTACTCGCTTCGTGAACATTTTGAGTTTACTCGCTTCAAGGTAAAGTAAAATTTGCGTTTATTAGCTTCATTCGCATGTCAAATTCTCTTCACAACAGATGCAGATTCGCGTCATGGGCGGGGCTAAAAAAGACGGATGAACATTTTGAGCTTATTTGCTTCATTCGTGCGTCAAATTCACTTCACAACAGATGCAGATTCGCATCATGGGCGGGGCTAAAATAGACGCGTGAACATTTTGAGTTTATTTGCTTCATTTGTGCATCAAATTCACTTCACAACAGACACGGATTCATGTCATGGGCGGGGCTAAAATAGACGCATGAACATTTTGAGTTTACTCGCTTCATTCGTGTCAAGTTTAATCCCAGTAGCTTTGCGTAAGTTCGTCTTGTTGACATGATTATGCACGTTACTACAGAGGCATGTTAAAATGCGTCTGTCAAACAATTCGGTGGGCGGGGAAAACACACTCTGTCACATTGTAGTCGGCCTCAAAATGAGAGGGATTTTTCATCATTGGTGCCCTTTAAGACTGAATGCAGTAATCAATGAATCAGACCACAAAAAATTATGTTTGCCGTTTGTTCAAACTACTTATTTAAAATGAGCTGAAACACAACTCTTACCTTAATTGTTCATGTTGATATGTTCAATCTAGTCAAATTTGTAAAAACAACTTCATGTTCACCCAACACAAATCAATTGTGTGGAACCCAGCATTTCTTACAGTGAATGAAGTATTCCAGAGTGACACAAAGTTTATTCCAAGTGTTCCATGCATGAGTGGGAATTCATAATGTAGATATTTCTGTAATTTTTTTTTTAGAATACCATATTGTAGGATCGACTAAATGGCAACTTAAAAAACTGAATCACGAGCTGAATCATTCAGCGCTCATTGTGCCGTTTCTCACAGTCAAGTGTGGGTTTGTGGTGTCTGATAGGATCTCAATATCTTCCATCTCCGCTTTTTCAAATGAAGGCTCCAGCTTGAAAACGAGAAGCGAATACTCAAGGCCTCCACCTCCGCCAACACCCACACTCCATTGACTAGGTGAGCCGAGTCAAAGAAGCCTGTGGAATACCTCTGTGTGCATTTGTTTGAGACAATTAATTCCCGTTTGTCTGTGCGATGATTATAATAAGCCCAATCTGTCTGACAAAAGCAAAGCACACACAAAAAAAAGGGTGCAGTTTGCAATTGGCACTGTAATTTTTATTAGTACGTGTATACTGCAACAATAAACTTGTACTGGTATACAGACAATTTCTTTTGAAACAAATTTGTTCACAACCTGAATCAAATATTGTTTTGTTGTTCAGAATAATGAAATAAGTTCTAACTAGAAAACCGGCAAGCACCATCAAAGAAAGGGACCAAAAAAATCCAAGAAACAACGTGAGTGTATCCTACAAATAGACACACCACAATTAGAAAATAGATTTTCAATTCAAATATTTTTTTATATTAGTTTTCTTTTTTAAAAAAGCTAGTGCAAGTACAATATTTTACACAACTTACAGAGAGTATGCACGCATATGGAAATAAAATGAATCAAAAAAAAAAAAAAAAAGAACAAAACAAAAATTGCCTTTCAGAATTATTTCCTACCCAAAGGTGTTTTTTTTTCATCTATTTTCCTTTATTAAATAAGGTGCAAAACACTACATCCTCTCCCAACAACCATCGCTTGCTACTGGCCAGAATTCTTGGATGCGATTCCCAGAAAATAAAACCTCCGGATCAGATGTGACATTCATTTTTTCTTTTTAACAGTCTCGCTTAACATATCTGCGTGAACATAGGTCCAACAATCCTGAAACTATGAAAAAAACAACCCATCTGAGTGTTTTAAACAATAGGTAAAGCTTCAATCCGAAAATTTTATAATCGTGGAGGTTTCTGCCCAATGTCAAGTGAAAAAAGAAACTAAAAAACAGCTTCCATTTCCCTTCCAAATGGAAGACTACAAATCTCTTTATGACAAGACCCGCAACACCTCTAGCCCGTGGTATTACTGCTTCATACGAACCCCACTCCTTCCTGAGGAATGACCGATGGCTTCCTGTGTACACAATCTCGAAAGGGAAAACAACAGAAGATAAAATAAAAAGAACTAGAGGTGGCTGGACATGCGTGCACATTTAATGACAACCAAACGCCATTTCACCTGACAAGAAGTACATAGTGTTATTTCACCTCCAGCTAATAGGTTTGTGTATCTGGCCTCAGCTTTTAAAAACCACGGGGAGGTTTATTCATCAGAATCTAAACACTGACATGTTAAAATTAGGCCTATAAAGATTTTACAGAGTACAGAGTTTTTTTTTTTACAAGCATTCATTGGCAAATTACAAAAATGAGCTGTTGTTTTTTTTCTTCGAAGATATGTTGTAGAAATTCTGAAGGATAAATACACAAGAGGCTGTTGATTGCTATGCGTGAAGGTGACATCGGGTTTGTGAGAACAGCATCTGTACATGGGGCCTGTGATGGTCAGTACATCCCCCTGGTGTTTAGTTCTCCGTGGATGACCAGGGTTGAGCGTCAAGTTTGACCAGAACGACAAGTCTCTTTTCTTGCGCAGGATGTACCACTCTCTCTGTGAGGGAAAAGTGTTTGTCAGATCAAATCGACGAGAGAGGAGTGTGCACTGTTTTCACTATCCAGCACTGATGTATAGCTGAACGCTCGTATATTAATTAACAATAAGACTAATTACAATACCCATATCAAGCAGCCCATAGAGAGCGAAAGGAAACCATAACGTGGGCTTGTAGAAGATTCTCAGCCTGAGGTTATTAATCCAGCGGTTTGGACAAGAATTGACAAAAAATGTCAAACAACAGTCAAGTTGAACAAAGAAATCCTGACTGATTTTTTCTTTCTTTCTTTCTTTCTTTCTTTGTACAATTAATGTAAAAGAAAAGCAAACTCAGTTTGTTTTCAATGAGAGCCACAATAAAATAAAAGAAAAACGTTTGATTTATTTTCTTTCAAACTCCCAATCCAACATTCGTCTCTTTTTTTTTCGTCATCTGTGCCAGAAAAATGAAAATTAAAACAAGGAAATTGTCTCCTCTTTTGAGCGGTCACAAAGGCGCTCTTAAAAAACATTCATTAAACATCTCTCTTCGTCTCCAACCATGATAAAAGAGTGCTACAGAGGAGACCCAAGCAAAAGTACAACGTCCAAAGTACATGAAGCAAGGTCAAATATCGAATAAAAACAAAGAAAACAGAATGATGGTGCACACATCAGTACAACAACAACAACAACAAAAAAGAGTCATCTCAGGTTCATAGAGGACCATATTTTCAACTCTGTCCACGTCGTCTCGACCTGTTGGACCCAGGAACGGGCCGAGACGGAGTAATTTGGAGGGGAGAAACCATGATGACACCAATCTCTCTCTCACCCTTATCTTACTCAGGATTAGAAAGTGCTGAAACAGTATTATCAAGTCTATCTATTCTATAAATGACAAAAAAAAAATGTGCATTTTGTTTTTCGTTTGTTTCTATAAAAGTGGTCCCCACTTTGATGAGGTTGATGAATCGTTTCTCAGTCTTTCATTT